CCACCACCACCCTCACACAGGTAGCGTTAGGGTCATCAGGTGAAATAAGTCGGGGGGTGTTTGTGGATTCCTGGAGGTGGAATTAAGAGGAAGAGCGTGAGTGTGTAGCAGCCGGCCACCAGCGCCAGGATGCACGATAAAAGCCTATTCTGTCATTGTTCACAATCCTTTGGTCGCATCTCTCCTCCGTGTCCGGCTCCGGCTCCGGCTCCTCTCCTCCTGACGACTCCCAACCATCATGTTTCGCCAGCCCTCATTGGTCAGGAAGTTGAAGAGGGCGGGGCGAGGATGGTCTCCAGCCAACCAGGATGAGCGACACATAAGACAGTTTAACCCTAGATTTAAATCGTTCACTATATGCAAATTAGAACTGTATGCAGATGAGTTAGACCTAGGCTTGGGCATTGGGTATCAGTGGGGTTTGATAGTTCCTCAACGACGGCATTTGGAGGGGGACATGAACAGCAGGAGCAGTAAATACAGCAGCAAGAAGAGAAGCAGCAGTGACAGTAACAGCAGGTCCACCCAAACCCGTAGATCCGAACTTGTGGTATTATTAACACAAGCTCGATTCTATGGGGATAGGTTGTCCTGGCTCACGTCTTCGTAAGCAGCGACGGGCCACCCTGAGGGTCCTCAGCATGAACCTTGTGCTCTGGGCCCCAAGACACGACACCCAAGGCGTGGCGTGGGAGGCATTGTGGGCGTGGGACGATACAAGCAGTGGGAAGGTGGTGACACAGCGTATGGAAGGCACATGATGCAAGTTTCACAAGAAACAAGACTATTCCCACGCTCAGGCGCTCGTGTTGGCCGCCCTCGCACCTAAACCGGCCGCCCACCACGAGAACAGCCGCCAGCGCCGCCCACATTCCCCCACCCACCGCGAGGACAGCAGCCAACGTCTCCCACAGAAGGACGGCCAAGTTGAGCCGCGGGTCCGGTGAGGTAGTAGGTTGTATAGTTGAGCGCTACATCATTACAGGAGAACTGTACAACTTGCTAACTTTCCGGGCCGCGAGCTCCACTCCTCAGGCAGCCGACGACTATTTTAGCACCCGATGTGTCCCGGTGCAGCCACACTCACGCACTCTTATCGTGCGTCCAGTGTTGCCAGCACATCTTCAGACACGCACTCTTAACATACGTGTTAAGCTCCAACAACATCCTCACGTACAAACTCTGAACGTGCTTGCTCTTAGTACACTCAAACACACACATTCAGCTAGGGTGCCATGCTGCCAGTACACTCCGACACACGCATGCTTACCAGTACACCCATGGTCACAATGCACCCTCACGCACCTTCCCACACTTAATTACTTGTTTCCATTATAAGGTAACTCGTGTGATGCCGCCCTCAAAAAACGAGTCAATCTTCATCACCTGTAGTCAGTGTGGACTCGCCTCAAATTAGGGTCTGGTTTTTTTCTACCCTACGAAAAACACAGCTTCACCTACGAGTAAGACAGTCTTCCACTCACAAACAAAACAGTCTTCCACTCACAAACAAAACAGTCTTCCACTCACAAACAAAACAAATAGTTACTGTGTTGTTTGTGCATGAAAGCTTGTAGGACCACACCCACTACAGCACCCCCACCACCTCCCCCTCCACATCCCCCCTCTGAGTCTTTATTAAGCTCTCATGTTTACAATAAAGTTCACATCTTATTTATTACTATTTTTAATATAAATTGTGATGTACAGCTGAGGTCAAGTTTCCCTGGACAGACTTTGATAATAATAATAATAATAATGTTAGAAAATAGTTGAAAATATTTTAATGTCATGTGAATAGGATTAAGAATTGTAAGTAAATAGAAAAAAAAACTTAGAGATTTCATTCATATTTGAGTACAAAGATGACAAAAGAATGATCGTAGGGGGTGTGAGGAATGACTGCGTAGAATGCCAGAAGGTGATGAATGACTTGAATGATAGAAGGAATGAATGACAGTGAAGAATAATAGAGATGGGTGAATGACGAGATAGAATGAGAGCAAGAGGGTAATACTGGAATAAATAAATAAATAGAAAGTATTAGAGAAAGGGGTAAGGAGGGGGGAGGGGTGATGGAGGTAGGAGGGGGTGGGATGAGGGGAGAGGGGTAGGATAGGCCTGTCCACCGTCTCATTTGAATGTGAATAGGCTCCCCACTGTCATTGTTGTGTACGGGCAAAAGGGACACATATCCCCTTCGCTACCCGTCACCACCCACCCCTAGTGTCACGTATTCGCGCTCTCTCTCTCTCTCTCTCTCTCTCCACTAAATCACAAGATGTATAAGAGAATTTGAGGTTCGTATATTATATACTGCTGTACCGTATGTTAGGTTAATATATTGTAAACTATAAATTATACTTGTAGGAAAATGAACTGTTTTGTGAATAATGTATGTAAGTTAAGGAGTATGAATTGTATGATGTATAACTTTTGTAAGATACTGTATTTTTTTATGTATTGAAAGTATCAGGAAGTATATCAACTGTATTTTTTCACTGTTTTATTTTAGTTTTATTATATTTATTTATTTATTTGGTTTTTATTTATTTTGTTCCCTGGTCTATGAAATTTTGTTAATTAAGCCATGAGAGTGTATGCAAGTATTCCTAATGTAGTAGTGATGCTTCAGTGTATTACAAGTGTCAGTATAATAGTTGTATGATGTAAATACTGTATACTGAGTGTATACTGAGACCTGTTGAACACTGTCTTGTTATCCTGGTAGCTGAAGCATCTTTAGGGAAAGCTAAAGATAACAGTGTAATTATCTGTAGTGGGAAGCTTATAATAACGACACACACACACACACACAGACAGACAGACAGACAGACAGACAGACAGGTTGTTGGTTGTGTTGCTCGGCCCAATCCCTATCTTTCCTGTCTGATTGACCTGCTTTTTTTTCCAGCTTGAGGGATTTTTTTGGTGGTTTTTTTTTCGAATACGTCTCATTATGCATGCACCGGGGCCCCCGTACGATCAGCTCCGCACGAACGCTCTTACGACAAATTCTTGGTCACTCTCCATCATACAGTATCAAGTTGCTTTCGAGAAAACTTGCTCAGTCGAGTTAGTGTTATAGGAGACGTCACATGTGTGTAGGACACTTGTTGACGCCCCACACATGTGTAGCACACTTGTCCACGCGTTCACAGATGTAGAACGGAATTTAACTTGACAGGTATGGTGATGGGAGGTGTTTTTATGCCACAGCAAGACGATAGTGTATGGTGTGTTCACTGTATACAGGTTATGCTAACTGTACAGGACGGCTGAACCTGTTTTGGTACAGATGATTTCTGTTTAGTTCATTATTGTTGGTTCAGCGTGAGACTGTTCCCACCCCGGGGTTATACTTGAGAATTGTGGGACTCGCTGTTAACTGGAACCTAATCTAACTTACCGCCTATTTTAACATGACCAATCCTTAGCCTTACTAGAAATATCACTAACTGTACTTAACCTAACCTAACCTAACTGTCCTTAACACAACCTAACCTATCCTAACCAACCTCAAAATTAATTAGATAAAACCTAACCTAATTTACCTCTTACCTAACCTGTCCCAAACAATCGGTTTTAGTATGAAAATTCGACTCAGTCCGGGTCCTGATCTGGGGATTAGTTTGACACAAAAAATAACATTGTTTTTATGATAGCAGTACAAATGCCTCTCACTCTCTGTTGTTTCTCAAAACTGAATGAAAGTGAGTAGTTTTTTGTTATGTGGTAAATATCACCCCAATTAATATTCCATTATTGTGTGTCGACTTTTAGGCACGGAATATATCAACATTGGAGCAGTGTTACCAGGTATCTTCCATCCTGAGTACGTTCACTCATTGTTAGCAGTGTTGACAAAAAGTCCTATTCGTATCCTTATCTAGGTTGCCACAGAGCCACGCTAACAGTGATAACACCAAGGTGAACTTCTTGTCTAGTATTAGTGTTGTGTTGAAGACATCTCGTCCGGTACGATACAGGAATGTTGTAAAGAGTTTTATCAAATGTTTTTTTTTAGTACTTACAATACACTGTCGTTAGAATTTATTGTAGTAGTTGTGATTTTAGTTTGTATTAGAACTGTACTGAGGTGGTGTGGAATTGAAAGTCTATTGGTGGGGGATAGGAGAGGAGGAGAAGGATGGAGAAGTCAATAAGGAAGTGTAAGGATTAGGTGATGCCGCTAGATATGAGGGCTAAAATTCACCTCATTTCTCAATATTATTATTCAGGAACCCAACTGAATCTTAATTGAATTGGGACCTATTCTCAAGGAGCCTCAATCTCAATATGGCACAGTGCTAATGGGTTCCAATCATGTTTACCTTAAGCTAACCTGTGACCTAACACATTACTAGGACCAATTACTGTACTATTATTTAACACAACTGTTTTCCTCTCTAAAATTACTTGCTCAATTTTTACCCAAAATAGATAGTAAGATTTATCACTTAATCTTATGACTTAGTGAATATATTAAATAAATTTACCTTCACTGAAAATACCAAATGACGAGGTTATTCATTTTGTAGCGATGAAACAATATAACAAGAGTGAAATATAAAGTAGGTAGATAGGTGTTACTAGTGTGTGTGTGTTAGTGGTGTATAACTTTTAGGGTGACACCTATAGTTATCTACAGGTTTGCCCCCTACACACACACACACACACACACACATAGTATCCACCATGTAGTTTATAGGATATGTAGCCACATTATATTTCCTTATACTACTGTAAAACTGACATAGTGTATAATATAACCTTTTCTTGACTTTATTTCCCACAATTCCTTTTCACCTTTCCTGCTACCCCTTCACCTTACACTTCCCACTAATCTTCTTCCTCTTCCTTCCTTTTACTCTTCCCTCTTACTACTCCTTCACCTTTCCCATTATTTCCTCATCTTCCTCTGTGTTCTCTCTCTTCCTCTCACCTTTCCCATCTTCTCGCCATCTCTTTTCATCTTCTTACGTTTTTCACTTTTGCAGGTGTGTGTGTGTGTGTGTGTGGAGGAGGTGCGTGAAGGAAGCAGCTGTAGGACGGACTATAGGAGCCACGTTAAGGAAAGGACAGACAGCGAGAGGGGTCTTCACGCTGCCCTACACTGCTGATTGTGGTTGTTGGTATGTGGAACGTCGTTTTTTGTTACTGGTACATAAGTTAACTGGTAGTATAAGATAGTGGTAGATGGTAGAGTGTCGTCTTGCTACATGTATAGATAAGTTGATTGGTATAGTAAGGTAAGGTTGGTGATTAATGATAAAATACCCTTAACGATACATAGAAGTGAATGGTAGTTACATGTAGTGGTGATGAAGTAGGTGATGTCACGTACAGTAGATGTCACAGGTGATGTCAACACTCAGGTATTATCCACCAGGTGTAGATATTTCAGGTGCCGTGTTTAGGGTACGAACAAGTGTTGATCCTTAATTTGACTTCCTGTCATTACCACCGCCTCTACCACCACCACTGTCACCATCATCACTATCACCACCAGTATAGTCTCCACCATTACCAAATGCAGTCACAACCACCATCAATCGTTAGTCCAGTCACCATCACCCACAGGAATTACCACCAGGAATTACCACCACAACCACCAGGAGTTACCACCACCACCACCAGGAGTTACCACCACCACCACCACCACCAGGAGTTACCACCACCACCACCACCAGGAGTTACCACCACCACCACCAGGAGTTACCACCACCATCAACAGGAGTTACCGCCACCAACAGGAGTTACCACCACCACCAGGAGTTACCTCATCATCAGGAGTTACCACCACCAACGGGGCTACCACCACCACCACCACCACCACCACCAGGAGTTATCACCACCACTACCAGGAGTTACCGCCACCATCACAGGAGCACGCCACCATCAGGAGTTACGCCACCATCAATAGGAGTTACCACCACCATCAATAGGAGTTACCGCCACCACCAGGAGTTACCATCACCAGGAGCTACCACCACAACAACACTCACCACCATCACCAGGAGTTACCACCACCACCACCACCACAACACTCACCACCACCAGGAGTTACCACCACCAACGGGAGTTACCACCACCACCACCAGGAGTTACCACCACTGGAGTTACCACCACCACGGGAGTTACCACCACCACCAGGAGTTACCACCACCACCAGGAGTTACCACTCACCAACGGACTCACCACCACCAGGAGTTACCACCACAACACCACCACCACCAGGAGTTACCACCCACAACACCACCACCACCAGGAGTTACCACCACAACACTCACCAACACTCACCACAACACTCACCACCACCAGGAGTTACCACCACCACCAGGAGTTACCACCACAACACTCACCACCACCAGGAGTTACCACCACAACACTCACCACCACCAGGAGTTACCACCACCACCAGGAGTTACCACCACAACACTCACCACCACCAGGAGTTACCACCACAACACTCACCACCACCATCAAAACATCAAAATAAGCAGAACTACCAGCACCATCAGAGGCTGTGTGCCACCATCAAGCCAGCTGTGTCTTGCCCCCGTGTCGTGTGCTCTGCGACAAACTGTTCGGCTTTGGCCAATGGGTATGTTTGGATTGTCATGAAAACGTAAACAGTTTTATTTTATGGTTTCCAATTTAAATCTGAGCGTACACAGCTGGTGGCGGGGGGGGGGGGTGTAGTCTGGGTGCCGTGGTGATGGTGACGGCGTTCACGGAACACACTTGGGGTTGGTCTGTGGGATATTCATGTCATAAGTCACCTCGTACAGCTCTCATCCTCGTCGTCACCTGCTACGCTAAAATACGAGGTAATCTTGCTCCTGCTTTGTCTTGTTATTGATTGTTAGGTTGGGGCGAGGTGCAGGGTGGGGAGTGCCACCTGTTGGCGCGAGACTAAAGCGCCGCTTCTTGACCCTGGCACCAGATGGCACCACTCGCCGTGTGGTCTGGGCGGCCATCCACGCCCTCATCTGTCTTGGTCTTGCACGCCACCACCCCCATCATCATCAAATGCAGTAACTTACACTTTTTTGTGTATGTAATGCTTTTAAAATGATTAGCCATGATACCATCACGCGAGATAATTTGAGTAATTTGGGAGAGGGAAGCGAGGTGGGGTGGGTGGAGCTCCGTGGCGTGGGGCTCCTCCCAGTGGGCGGGGCCAGCACCCACCCGCCTGCCGGAGCGCGATAATCATGTCCTCGCTTTGCCAAACTCGCACAGAATTTTGCCTTGTTTACATTCCTTGGGCCACAAATTAAGGCATCGAAGTATGTACGTCGTAGTGATAAAGTGCTGCTTTGTGTACCTTGTTCCACATTAAATCAGGAGTAGCGTGAGAGGCGGAAAGGAGAGTGTGTGGGGGCACTTTTCACCTCGGGATATCTAAAAGAGCCAAGTCTAGACTGATGACCCACCCTCGTTGGCTCCCGAGTCAGTTACCCTTTAGTGAGGGAAGGGGGTGTAGCTGCTCCACCAGTGCTCCGCCTTACAGTGGACCCACAGTACAAGAAAACCGTGTACTACACTAGAGAAAATAAAAAGTGATAGTGAAAAGTTAGAAGAGAAAGAGTGCAGCGTGAACCCGCCAGTGTGCGTTAGGCCTCAAGGTTGGTGTGTGAATTCGTACCCTGTGGTGGTCGGCGCGGGATTTAGCGCCGCCGCTACACCACCTCCGCTAGTTGTGCACTGCGGTCCTCTGCCGCCGCCGTTGACCCCCGCTCTTCGGCTGCTCTGCCGGCACTCTTTACCCTACCCTGCCCTACGGCCTGGGTCTGTGTCTCCCCTCACCTATCACCACCCACGCTGAGGCCCCCCCCCCTTGCCTATCTACCCACCCACCATCATCACCCACCCACCCACCATCATCACCAACCCTGGGCCTCCACCCACTATCACCACCCACTCTGGCCCCCCACCCACCATCACCACCCAGTCTGGCCTCCCACCCTCCATGGCTTCCCACCCACCATCACCACCCACCCTGGCCCCCTGCACCCACCATCACCACCCACCATGGCTTCCATCACCCCACCCACCATCACCAACCTTGGCCCCCCCCATCTTGGGCCTCTGCCCCCATCACCACACCCAAGCTGGACCCCACCCAACCAGCCCCCCCCCCGCCCCCCTTCCTCCCCCCTCCTCCATTGTCACCCAAGCTGGGCCTCCCCACCCTGGCCACCACCCACACCCTGACTGGCCTCCCACCCGACTGGCCTCCCCACCCCACCATCATTACTCACCCCAGCCTCCCACCCACCAACATCACCCCACCTGGCCACCACCCACTTGGCTGGCCTCCCACCCACTGTCATTACTCACCCTGGCCTCTCACCCACCATCCTCACCCCCACCACCACTCTGGCTCCCCGCCCACCTATGCCCCCTAGTGCCCCCCAACCCACCGGCCCCTAACCCACCCTTACCCCCCACCCCACCCCCTTGCCCCCCACCCATCACCACCCCTTACCCCCCACCCATCCTAGCTTCACCACCCTGTTCTCCCATCCATCATCAACAACCGCCCTGCGCCACCCTTCCCACTTAGAAAACTTGCGAATTTATTGTTAGTAGTAGTAATTTTAGTAGTACCTTGCACACTACTTTGGGGCAAGGTATTGTCTCGGTACTGTCTGTTTGTCTTTACTCAAAATATCTCGAGAACGGGTTTGTGGACTGGCTTGGTTTGGTTAACATGTGACAAGGTCCACATGATGGAATTTTGGTGCAAATCGCGCAGCATTAACTAAGAGTTGTCTTAGTAAGAGTTCGTGTAATAGCAACATAGGAGTGTTGAAGAAAACGATGATACGAGATGGTCTTCAGCGGTGACTAAATTAATTTAAGTAATAGCGTCACTCTTTCCATATTTACCTTGGTATGGTAACGGTTCTAGGGCAGTTGATGCTTTATTATTATTATTATTATTATTATTATTATCATCATTATCATTATTATTAATATTATTGTTGTTGTTCTTATCGCCATTGAAAATGTACACTCCCTCACTAGCATACATGGTACTGACCCTCATCGTATGTAACCAAATTGCATTATCATAAGCATAATTAAATAGTTAAACACACAGCAGTTGTTCTCACTGGTTCAGTCCTGTTTATTTCAACTGCGTTTCAAAATGACAAGCGTGTTGTTATTCTGTGTTGTGTTTCAAACTGACATAAGCGAGTTTGAATGGGGCCTCGGCCAATCAATGCTGTGAACTCATTTGATGCTGAACCGGCCTACCCATAAGCCAAGAGCATTCCGATTTTTACCCTGTAAAACTAGAGTCATTGACTTGCCTTCGTGTGGATCTCAATTTCATTAGTGTTTATTTTTTTGTAGTCTGTCTCCCGCTGCTTGTCCAGTAGTGTGGTCAACCAGCCTAAGTTGCAGGGTGTGACACGGTGTCCATTCTTTGTTAAATTGGTAGACGCTTCACATGGTAGGTTAATAATCGATCCTTGTAAAACCTGTATTACACAAGGTTACTGGCGCCTTACTTTATTATTCATTTTATTTTATTACAGTATTTTTGATAAGTGTAGCCTTCATCCCCGTGTTGGGTGACAATATGCTGTACACCTGGCTATAATGAGCGTGTCATTCCCGCTTTTACAGCAGGGTAGAGTGAAGTAAATAAATGACAGTGCTGGTAGAGTTTGATGAGTTAATCTTACGTTGGATCTGTTTGCACTAAGCCTTCATTTACATACCTAGTGCAGTACGCGTGTGTGTTTTAGTGCGGTATTTAATTTGGCGGTCTGGGCCAGTGTTATCATTTAAAAGATTTTTCGCGTACATAATCATACCCAGATATTTCATGGTGTTTTAACTATAGCCTAAGGTACCAAAAATCGTTAATATTTTCAGACATTTTCCCTTGAGAGGATCGTGTAAACAAGTGTGTAAATCCTCACGTCAGTCATAGTGACCAATTTGTACTGAGTAATGAACGAAACCCACCAATAGCAGCACACAGTGTACAACATGTGTCGGACTCACAGAGAAACATATTTTATTTTCCACGTAACTGATGATTTTAAATCTACTCTTAAACTAGTTTCAACACAAAGCTCAGGGCATGTATGGTGCCGTTGTGTACTGAGACTGTATTGTGTATGTATGTATTGCTGACGAATAAAATTGTAAAACACTAATCATCAAAATCAACCAAATTGTCTTGGAATCAGAGCCATTCACCTTACTCCATTTTGACCCCTGGCACTCGGTCTCAATTACTGTATTGAATGGCAACAAATTTCATTGTTACAGGCTCAGGAGTAAGGGCCTATATATACCCCTCCGTAATATAATATGGCCCTGGCTTAAGAACTTATCATTATTTTCTCTTGAATTTTATGTTTTATTTTGTTGCTTAATTGGAAGGATAGTTTTAATACCTAATTGATGGAGATGACTATTACATACCCGAAAAAGACATTAAATAATACATAAGCTTTATGGGTAGTTGGACAGACTACATATATATATATATATATATATATATATATATATATATATATATATATATATATATATATATATATATATATATATATATATATATATATATATATTATTTCAGAATATTGAGAATAGTCGTACTTACATTATTATATTATAAGATCAAGCAATTTCACGGTGTTATTTTTTCACCTGACTTTGTACTTGTTTACAGATCACCAGAAGACGCAGATGACACACCCCTGAAGAGGAATACAGCAGTAAGGAGGAAGTGTTGTGCAAGTTTTATAAGATGGATCTTTCACCAGTGATCACAATGATAAGTGCTTTTTACTATTCGTTCTGTTAGTGTTAAGGTAGTTAGTGTACTGTGACCGGTATCATTGTTATGTTTAGGTCACATTATTTTTCTTTCATTACACAATTTAGCAACGGAGACTAGAAACCAAATTAAAAGGGTACTAAAATGACTTCTACCTTAGTGAGAACGGTAATATTGGCATTTATTCACCTGTATAAGTGAACAGGTTTTCCAGACATACATATATATACATACCCACCCACATCCCCACCCCTGTACATAATTTACATTGGAAGGGGTATGGCGATTTATTGTTGTGAGTTTCCAAGATCTATATTTGTGTCATAATAGGGAAATAATTAAGGCCTGGCTAGTCATGGCTATTTTGGGACCACAGTACAGTATTCTTCATTCAGTAATACAGTACATGGTCATGCTGTCTGCTGAAGGAATTAAAAGGTTATAAAAGAAGTTTAGTGTTTATCTAATAAGTGTTAAATGGTTGTATGCATTGTGATGATGCAGTTTGTGCCTCTTTTAATGTGATCGCTGTTAGAAATAATGATGGTCAAAACAAAGTAACAGACAGACCAACCACTCTAAAGGCTATTTCAGCTGATAAATGGTGAAAGGGTAAATAAATAAAATAATTCGATAAGGGTCATAATTCTTTTGAAAGTAGGTATACAACAGCAAATATTAAACAGGTCATGTTTTTACTTGGTAATATGATCCATGAAAATTAAAGTTGCAGTGTGTGTAAATATTCTGTAATTAATGACAGGACATCCTTAACGCCCCTGCACTGGGCTACGGTGGGCATACCCCCCCCCCCCCTCACCTACACACACACACACAGGGATACTGTATTTGGAAATTTTTGAAAAAATTAATCATTCAAACTGGTCCTATATGATATATAAACATTAAATAAATGCATGTATTTACCACAGGTTGGCATCATAGGGGCTAGGAAGAGTTTTGTTGCCGAGTTGAGAAGCTGCATGAAGTACAGTATACTGTATTGTGTGAGGCAGTGGGGTAAGGCGGGCAGTGAGAGGTGCACAACACCAATATGTAGGTAGTATGAGGTACCTAGCATTTGTTTTATTATGCTTTTATTCTTTTCACTGTGTACAATCATTATTACTGCCTCCAGTATTGATCACAAATGTGATGAAGCATCCCGATGGCACTGTGGATAGCGGCTTAGGCTTAGATAGAAACACTATTTATGTTCTTAATCATGCCAACGGGGTCATTAGGCAATGTGCTGTCAGTATCATGTCCATAATTCCCAGACAACTGTATAGAAAGCAAACATTCCTCTGGTTCCCTTCTGGGAGGAAGAGGATACAGTTTAGAGGTAGTGTGGCTCTTGGAGGTAAACCTAATTATGCTGACAAAAAGTCATAGTGAATCGCATCTACTGTAGAACTACAGCATTACCACTATGTATTTCTGGGAATTTGTGATGCATTGATGTAGTGAGAAATCTATGTACTGTAGTATCTAAACTTAAAATGTTGAAAAGATTCAATATATTTTTCACAAGCTGTATTGAAATTCCAGGACACCAAAATTTTTCATGCTCATTCAGTGTTGATGAGAAGTAATGTTTTCTATGAATTACCTTCCTGTTTCACTTTCTGTAATGACTTTGGGTTACTTATTCAAGACCAAACTATGGTTTTTAATACTCTGAAGGCAATTTGTTTAATGAAGTCATGGTAGTGGTTTCCCCATTATTGACATCTCTTTTCTTTGTTCCCACAGCTGAAGGATGACATTGCATAAGACTGAAGTGACCAGGTGTATGCCCACTCTACTAGAAAGCCTGTCCTCCATTCCCTGAGACCCTTTCTTGTGAAGGAAGGAGTTCACAAGCAAGGTGCTCAGGCATGGATGGCAGTGCTACTTCACCAATGGGCCCTCATTACTATGAATAATTGTGTCCTCAAGTTCCCTGCAAGATGGAACGTCATTTCAAGAGGACAATACCACCACACAACACCCACCACAGTGCTTCATCATGGAAGAGGATATAAGAAGACTAGGAAATAGGGGTATCGGTAATTAAGTCATTTGCAGGAACAATTTAAAGTACAGTACAGTACTGTAATTCAAAGTGTGTTGAATTTATCAATTTGGCCAGTAGTTACCGGTAGTCCAAAATGAAAACCTTGACCACAATTGATTATTTTCACTGCTGTACTACTAAATTCGCTCAAGAGTGTTACATATATTTAATATGTTCAGTATATCATCTCGCTATTCTAATGGAATGACAAAGTTTTGATACTTTAGGTGTGTCAGACTTATAGAATATGTACAAAAATTCTCCATGCTCTTTTGATATTGTAAACAGTCATTCTGTTACATAGTTACTCATTATAAAACTATTGTAGCTATTATCAAGAGAGGTAATTATTGTTGTGGGTATGGAATGTTAATTTAATTTAATCATGGATACACTTATCTTATAACCGATGTTGCTACTTCAGTGATTTAAGTTTTGCTCCTTTGGGATATAGGATATGATTAAGCTAATCCTAATTTAGGTAGTTTATTAATAGGCCGAGCCAATAGCCTACATGCAGAAAGTTTTGTTGCTTAGGTGTTGAACAATAAAACAGCATTACTTCATTTATTGAGATAGGAAACCTTGTACTCTCTCACCTCCAACAGACTATGCACTGTGCAGGTGCTCACCGTTTGTATCATGTGTGACATTTACCACATTCAGAACCAGAATTATATGGACAGTCAAGTATTTATCACCGTACATACTAACTTGAGCATTTCCACATTGATGTCTTAGTAGTAAAGGCCGGAGCATTTGAGTTGAATTTTGTAGTTTGTTGGTTTGGTTCTTTAGTAAGTAAAACTATTGGAAGCTATACCGTATATACTATAGGAAATGATTGATAAAGTAACATAATTAACCAGGGTTCTCAAACTGTACCTGTAATATTGTTGCCTATTTTTTAATGAGCGCTACTCACATAAGTCCTAAGTCATTATAGTAAATACATAGAATATACAAAGGTAGATTAAGTGTCTAAAACTGCTTATCTGGCACCAGGTTTAGTGATGGTGTATTTCCTCTCTGTGGTGGTGCCTGTTACCTCTTAGTTTATAAAGAGAGTATATTACTGTATTCTACTTCGTATTTCTCTGAGAACCTTGGTTGTTTATGATTCAGCTTCTGTCAACTGCATATACGTAGTACATTTGTTAGTCTTTAATGCACTACAGTATAGTTATTAGTATTAGCCCCTTCACTATGGGGACATATTTTTCAGTATTTTATGTGGCTAATGCCAGATAACTTTATTTAGCTAAGAAATGTCCCCATACATAAGGGGTTAATGTTAACAAAAATAGAATTAAGATATACTGTACTGTGGTTGTGTAAGACAAGTTCATATGATAATAATAATATTGTCTGAATTTCATTTCCTTGGTATATTTCCCCCCAACTAGTTTTACTGGCTGACTGTTTTTCTGTGTGATAACATTTCACAATACCTGGATCCGACACAGTTCTGATACTTTGAATGAATATTATTTCGGGTACAAAAGTAATGTCTTGTGTAGTTTTAACTGACCTATTTGCTGTGTTATTTGTTAGGAAATTTATAACCGGGCATTGATGCAAGGAGACTTATGTGAAGGTTACTATCAAGTTTACTGGTTCCAATCACTAATGGCTGACACTCGTATACAATTAGTACAGCTCTCCTGTCAACTATTGCCCATAAATATTCTCAGCTCTTTATACATTTCTGTCATTTCTCTTTTCAGTATTACTTTCTTTGTTTTCTTAATTTAATTCATCATTTTCTATATGCAATACCCTTTTCTCTCGTCTAATTAATTTAACTTTTTGTGTAAAATGCTACACTTGTTACTTTACATAGATCTTAACTTAGTCTTCAGTGATGGAGAATATGGTGGATGTTCGAAGGGGAAGCAGTGGGGGTGGAGGAGCGTTGGAGGCGGGTCGCGGTGCAGTGCAGGTTGACCACAATACTGACTGTGCCTGTGAGAAGGAATGGTTGAGAGGAGGAGGGGAGAATATGGGAAGAAGGAGGAGGATAGGTTAATCACATGTTAGGTTCCCACAATTAGTAACCTCCTTCCATTCTTCCATTATTAAATACTGGTGACTCTTAGCAAACTGAACACTGACTTTCAATGTCTTTTGGGGAGATACAGTATTTATATGGGAGGATTACATACACATTGGAGGGACACAGATAAGAATAATCATCATGAAACAAACTAGTACACTTGTTACAACATTCTATGAAAACTTCAGTTATGTGGCTACCGGGCCAGTTTCTTATCCTCCCACGCAAGGAAGAATGGGGGCAGGCTTCCTCTTTCTCTCTCTCTCTCCCTCTGGTCAATTATGCCAGAAGATATGAGCTAAGATTCTCATTATATATAAGCTGACAGCCTTTTTTGTATTTGGCTAACTGGGGACTTAACTGGGCATTCTTCGGACTCAATAACTGGGCCCCTTACGTCTCTTAGAGCCTAATTCTTTAACGCTGGTTTGTCATTGATTATCTGTAAAATGCACCCAGTTAAGATATATACAAATTATTGGTCATAAACATGTATCTTGAGAAAGCTGCCTCCTACATTTGGTTTCAATCTGTCAACCCGACAATCACTGAAACCAACAAACTCTGGTCATAAAATTAGTTTTGAGGACACTTCATATAATGTGATTTCTCCACTCGCAGCTACATTAATGCAGTGAGAGGCGAGTGAGTCTTGGTACAAGAGCAACCTATGTAGGTACCGTTCCTTCTCAGCTGTTGGGTAGGCTACCAGGAATTTCCCGTCTCAATCTTAGTATAGCTGTTTCCTCACTAGGTGCAGATTGTTCGCTAGATATCCGTACATCATAACACTTAAGTTGTGTGTACACCTTGTAAGTAGTACCTTGGAGTAGATACAGCCACACTGCACATGTTTCATTTGCATAGTAGAGTAAATTTCAGCAAAATGTTTTGGTTTATAATTTATTTTAATTGTGTTGTTGGGATCTGACTGGAATTGTTCTCATGGGGGTGACAAGCCTATACAGTACAGAGTACTGTACTTAACATTCGCACTTCAGTGAATTTTGTGTGCTTATTTGCACTGTATTTAGAAGTGTTGGAAAACCTATAAGGGTTTCATTATTTAGTGGGACAAGAGTAAGGTTTTGATTGATTTGTGGATGAACATTATCTCAAAAGTTTTATAACGTAGTTGGTTTATTCAGTCAGGTTAGTGTAGAGGTGGTTCCATCTCTGGGTTTGGTTATGGCAGCTTCATACAAAGTGAAGAGTATGGAGAGTACAGGCATTTGACATGTTGATTCTCACCTATGTTGCTATTAGAAGAGCTGTACAGGAATATTATTGTGGAGGAAGTGTAACAAGGAGGATACATAGTCCATCGCAATATATCCTAAGTTTAGAAAAGTATTGTTACACCTTTACATGATAGTTCCACAGTCTGTGGAAGATTCTTTTGGAATTTACTAAAGGGCAACTAGTTCAATAGTAAACCCCATGGACACACCACTGTACTTCGGCAACGAATCTGAAGACTTTCCTCTAATGGAGACTGGAGGTACAAGCCCTCTGAAAGGTCACTCTGGTTACTGTATTAGTTCTGGATGATAGGCACATAGGTCTCCTTAAATCAACAGGTTTTAAATCAAGAATTGGTACTGGAAAAACCATTTTATAACATTCAAGACAAATAGACCCTTCACCTGTTGGAGTTCAGCTAGACTCAGGACTGATGTTACACTGGAAGTTCCAGGTGGCCAATGACACACAAGGAAACATGTGGATATAAGTTACTGAATCACCAAGAGTCACTCAGATGTTAGTCCTCAGAGGGACTGTCACTTTTAATACCCCCTTTTAAGAGTGATAGGATGGCTGTACTGGTTGTATATTACTGAAAGGTGATAATGAAGGACATATTACCAGATGCACAGGTACAAAATGTCTCCATGTCACAAAGAGTGGTAGAATGAGAATAGGAAGCTGGAATAGAGAAACATTATGGTGTAATGAAGATCTCGGACATCTATGGAGCCAAATCAATGAAAAATGGAAAACAACATGGGAAGATTTTAATGCGTTGAATAAAAAAAAATATTAAAAAGCACCGTAAAATTGACAGTGAAATGCAAAAGTGAGGAATGTGCCAGAAGATATTATGTTCTTAATAAAGGAGGGAAGATACTGATGATAGTAGAATATAGAAAAATGGAGAGAAACTATTTTAGATTTGGTAACGATTAAGAAGACAATTCAAGCTGTTATATTAACATAAGGAACACAGAGATGAAATAGACACGGAAACATTGAGGAATCTGAACCATTGTCTCAACACACTAAAATAAACGTCAGATACAGTGGCGGCTCGTGAAAAATAAAATGGAGGGACTGCAAGCCTCACACAACAGTAGGATACACAAATTTGACCTACCTCAGGTATGAGTTGTAGTTGATGTCCACGAATTCCCAGGGCATGGTAGTAGTGTTGGTGGTAGAAGGTGGTGATTGGACATTGAAAATAAAGTCGGCGTGTTCGCTCTTCGATGTAGCAAAATTGTTTATTACTATTTCATTAAAATCCTTTATTTCTGTTATCATTTTATTTTCAATGGATATCACTGCTAAAGCAGACAGTCTGTCATTCACCATGGTACCGCAGAGCCATTCACATTTCTGATAAACACTCATGTTAAACTGGCGTGTATATTCTTTGTTCTGTTGAATGGATAAAACTGGTGTAGGTCTTCCTCTTGCTTTGATTTCAGTCTTTTCATTTAATGTCAGCTGGGAAAAGTTGATGTTTTGCAAATACTTCACTCGATTTTCCATCGTCAAAGGGTAATTAAAGAAAGCACGATTTAACCACACCGCCCACACGCAATGTAAACACGACGGTATCTGAGGGGCTAATTAATAACAGACATCAATCGTACAGCATTGACAGCAACTATGAAAGTAACTTAAATTTTGGTCTGATTTTAATGAAAATTCACTTAGCAACGTATTGAAAATAATTAAATAACATAAAATGATATATTTGTTGGTAGTGTATTATTCAGCTGTCTCTCTAAAGGAATCATACGCCTGGCAGTGAGTGTGGGGGACTGCAGCTCTGCAGCCCTATGCACGAGCCGCCACTGGTTAGATAAATTTGAAAAGCAATCTAAAGTATTCATGATGATCAATGAGACAACTATAGAAGCACTGGGCAGATCAATACAGTATGATTATTACGATTACATAGCTCTGGATGTGTCGTAGTCTGTAACTGATGTATCTTGTAATATCTTCTGCCACTCAGACCCCCAACTATCACTTCCCAGACCCTTCAACTACCCCCCTCCCAGACCCCAAGCTAACGCCTTCCCAGAACCTCAGCCACCCCCCAGACCCCAGTTTGTTCAACATGTGGCAAGGTCCTCTTGATAAACTTTTGGTACAAATCGTGCCATGTTAAGGGTCGTGCAGTAACAATCATTCTGTTGTTAAAAAGAATGACTCGAAACAGTCTCCTGCAGTGACTATACAGTAACAGGATCGTTATTTCGATATTAACCAGGCCATAGTAACGGTTCACTGGCATTGCTCGCATCAGCTAGGATGATGATTAATTGTAAATACTGTATTACCTCTGACGAATTTTCAGGGAGGAGCAGAGCGTGGAAGATAACGCCCTTCCTCCCTAATTTATTATCACTATTTAATTTTCAGCTGGTGGATGTTCTGTAATCCCCCTATAATTTATCCAATATGTCCTACATCCGACTCTCTCCATTACAACATCCTCACCGACTGGAAATTACTGTAATAATCGCGGAATGAATGCATCAATGTCACAGTGAAATCAACCTCGGCATATGAAATAATCATGTTATTCATAACCGAGCTTAACTTTTACTATATCTGTCAAAGATGATTTTAGATTTGTATACCAATTTCTCTTAGACATAGGCAAATGCAGTATTGTGAAACGTTAATGAGAAAATAAACATGTCAGAGATATAACCAACTGGTTTTTCTACAGTCACGTATTTTATGATCTCAAGTGCGATAAATGAAATCTGACAATTTTTTCTAAAAATTAAAGAAAGTAAATCACGCTTCTCTAGATCGCGATAACTAGATTATACTGTATTAATATTAAAACAAGAATATATTCTCCAATTATACATTGTTGGAAACACCTCGGGACGTCGAGTGTCAAGTCGTCATGTCAACAAGCCTCAGTCAGTGCCGAGCGACCAGCCGACCAGCAGCCATGGAGTGAAGGTGTGTCCAATAATAATTATATTTACGATAATACTATTTATTTTAATGTATCGATTTATCCGACCATTTTAATCTAGTATCAACTATTAAAGTATGAATTTTAAGCTAATCTGTAATATACGAGTAAATATAGAATTGCAAGTTACTGAAACAAGTTTTCTTTCAGTTCAATGTCCATCTGTGCAGCGATGTGACGTGAAGGGCCAGGCATCCTCAGCTCTTATATTGAGAGAATTGCGTGAGTTAGTGTAGTGTATTCGTGTGGTCACAGGGGTTAGTAGTGTAATTCTCTGGTGTTGGTAAACCTGAGGGAGACGCTTTTTGCTGAATTACTCGTTTAAAGGACTTAACAGTAGGCAATAGTCTGCTTTAACATCGCCACCTTAATGATGTTAAAGGTAGAAGTAAAGGGCAGGGATCCAGGTTAATCAGATACTGTACCTATTGTAAAGTCTATAGGAAAAATATTTTTGGGAAAATTTTTCTTGTAGCTCCTCCCGTTCACTTGTAGCAAGTTAAAAATATATTTTTCTAGTGTATTTGTGTGTGCTGAGACCGAATATGACCTTCCTTTTTTGGCGGAAATTAGCAGGTTTTTTTTGGCGATTTTTTTTTCGTTTGACGTTTTCCAAGAAAAAAAGGGCCTAAGCTACTAACAAATACACAATAAAATACTAGAAAAACAATAACCAAACCTAACCTGACCTAACTTAACTTAACTGACTCTCACCATATGATGGAATCGCCTATTTCTTACCTTATTGGCCTGGTTCTTGTTTGTCGTTGCATTCTGGGATTCTTACCCAACTCCACATATGTTGGTCTTTGCGATATTTACATTCAGTCTTGCTCTTAGTACACTTTACTGAGGTTGGAAGAACACCATGCGATCGAAAAAATGCTATAGTTTCTAAGTTTTTTTTCCAAAAACTCGCGATCGGCTCCATATGCTTTAAGTGACATCCATCACAGACTTCCATGGTCGGAACTGAACTTGAATTTCAAAATATGAGACCCAAAAAAAACCTGATTTTGATTGGGCCAAATATACTCTGAATTAGCAAAAACGCTGTGTCCACATTTCAAATGGACTGAAGACTCCTTATCAAAATTATCGATGTTATAGATACCATTTAACTGTGCCAGTATTTCCTTGATTCAGTAACTACAGGATCTTTTCTCACATTTCCTCAACTTGGTTTTACACTGCTTGGTATACTTGAACTCGTTGTAGCAGATTTTTTTTACTTATAACGTAAATTTTCATGGTAGTAGACGTAAAAAAATAAAATAAAAAATATTCCCAACGGTACTGAGCTCAGAGCTCTTCACTATACAGCTCCTCCCCGACTTATGATCGGGTTAGGGACCTGAATCCAGGTCGTAAGTCCGAAATGGTCGTAAGTCGGAACTAAGTAATTCATAGAAAATATTCTCGGCACCACAAAACACTCACTTTTAAGCTTGCTAGCCATTTTAAAGTAAATTATAAACGAAAATTTTGTCTGTACCGACTTTGGGACTCGAAAATACGTAATTTGACCAAATTTTGGTACGACTGAGGCAGGTCGTAAGTCGGGAGGACAATGTACGTATTTTTGCCTATTTTCATTTATGAATAATAATATTAACGAATATTATAGTACTGTACTGTATAGTGTTTAGAATTATGTCATATTGTATACTACACAAATTGTGCACTTACCCAAAAATTGTGGTAGTAATCAGGACTTGGAAAAAAAAGAACCCCCCTGTTAGTTGTTACAGTACGTTAAGTATTTCTGAAAATGACTAATTTAACTGTAAAATAATGCGTAGTCAGTTTTAATGACAAGTGGTCGCAGCTTCATCATAACTTAACACCAGGTGTACACGGTTCCTCTATGATGTTGACATAATGAGGGTCTTACCTAAGTCGTCAGCCAGGCTTAAAACTGTGTTGTCGCTTTTGACAATGACGTAATTCTCACACACGGCAATTGTCAAAAGTATCGGCTTGCCACAAAAGTCCGGTGGGAATGTTAAGGAACAAACAATTTACTTACAAAATTGAAATACTGTATCACACACTATTGTGAACAAGGATTGCAGAAAATTTCTCATCTTCCAGGGGGGTGCAACTGTAAGTGCACTCCTTTGCACCTCCCTACAGATGCCCATGGGTCTAAGGAGGTGGAAGTAATACCTCTACTATATTCTTATTATGTTTTTGACCTTACGGTAATTATTTTTATTTTTTTGCACATTCTGTATGAACGATTGTGTACATGTAACTAATTTTTATTTTTTACTTATACCGGTACTGTATCTATCCGAAATTATTACATAAACAATGGACTAGCAAAATAACCCCAAAATTTCTGTCAGGCTATTTTGCTGTGATTGGTAATGTAGCCTATTCCAAAAAAGTATACTGTAGTGTCAAAGAGTACCTAAGCAAATTCACGTTTCTAAAAAATTTCTTGAATACAAGAGGTGGGAAGTGGTGGTGGATTGTGGGTGTGAGATGATGTCGTTTTAGAAATCTACTTTGTTTTATCTACAGTGCTACATCAAGGATCAGAATCTCTTTTTTATGTATTGTCCTTCTAATATACCTTTCAGTTTTGAAATATTTAGAATTTTTTGTGTTGTGGCCAATTTTGAAATTGCAGGGTGCCAAAATCAAAGTTTATCAGCCAGATACTATTAATCCATAAAATTGGCTTGTCCACTAAAATGGTACCATTGGTATGTAAATTCAGAATTTTACTGGTTTTGCGTCCTCTCATTGTGCTGTTGTTCAACATTGTCGCCAATGTGAACATTTCTGTACTTGTGCTTTATACCAAAATTTATAGTTAATCTGTACAGGTATACTGTACTGTATTCATATTTCTAAATAGGAATCCATCAAAGAACTAATTACAGTCTAATAGTTTCTGAACATTGAATGAAATCTAACTTGAGGAAATACCTATGCTCTTTAATCAGTTTAAGCCACATGCGGCCAGTGTAAAGTAATTCAATAAATTTAAGATATTTAGTGGAGTGGATGGCAGACTTCAGGATGTTACTGACTTTTAAGTGTTCTTTATGTGCTGGTAACCATGTGGTCTTAGCAAGGCTGAGGAAACAATATTGTGGATGTCCTTGGACTCGGTCGATGAGTTCTGTTACCTGGGTCACGTGATGAGTGCTAGAGGGAGGTTGTGAGAGTCAGAAGTGGCTGTGGGAAATTTAAGGTGTTGCTGCCTTTATTGACAGCAAGAGGACCTTCCCTTTGAGTGAAAGGAAAGATGTATGCCACTGGCATGAGAAGCCTGATGTTGTATGGTAGTGAAACATGGGCAGGCTTAAGCAAGAAATAAGAATGGTGAGGTGGAAGTGAAATTTGACACAGAAAGACTGGAAATCCTGTTCAGAGTTAAAGAGTGGCTGGGTATTAAAAATACAGGAGACGATAATTTACCGAGAGCGAAAATTGAGATAACCAGTATCTAACACAACTATGTGTGAGGGTTATATATCACCACCACTATCATTCGTATTATTCTATTCCATCTTGTTTAATGGCTAACTATAATACCTTTCAGGGATACAAATCACTAAATGTACAGGGGGGTGTCTGTCTGTTAGGGGTGTGGAGTGGTGGTGTTAATGTCATGGCTAGCTAGCTTCATGCAAGCCGCATGGGTTATGTGTGCCCAGTTACAAGTGGTGACATGTACCCAGCTTACAAATATTTGACACTTGATACAGCTTATAACTCTTGGGAATTATGTTAAATACAAGCTTAAATTGTTTTCATGCTTGTATGTTTTGAATACCAAATTCAGTAGCTACATCACATGCCATAATTATTTATAGAGTATAAGCAAAGTAAATTTCTCTAATCACAGTCCGTGTGTCTGGTCACTGCAAACTTGCCACATTTATTTCTTTTATGAGCCAAAAACTCGATAAAATAATGTGAATAAATGCTAAAAACTTAATAGATTATACAAATGATACGAAGACTATAATGTTAATTTGCCAAGCCAACCTATGTAAAGCAGTTGATTACATTAAAGTCTGTGTGGTTGTGAACTGAACAGCTGACTGCCTCTGTGTGGGTGATAGTAGCGCACAGAATGTAAGGTGGTCAAACTCACAAATTTCTTAATTTAGATAGTTATTGGTTTTAAATTATCAGACATTTTTCACATTGGTGTAACATGTTCTGTTTAATACTAAATGTACTACAGGGAATATTATCAAGGAACATGACATTGAGAGAGATTTATTGAGTCAAATCATACAATATGCAGTATTTTTATGTAACTCCGAACCTATGAAATCATCATATAATACGCACTTGTACACTGCAATATGAAAGTAAGGAGCCTAGATCCACGTATGACAATGGACACTGAGTGTGGTCACTTCCTCTCCTTGTCCTCCTGGGAATTTGAAAATTTATTATCTTCCAAAAGAAGTTAAGAGGTGTTTGATGCAGATAAATAGTATTATCAGTTTCAATTAATAAAGCATGGTATAGCCCTGGCTCAGATAAACGATCGGTAGTAAAATGATTGTCTACTGTATTGGCAAAGTTTAGTGTTCTGGTAAGTGGAGATGATTTAGACATGTGATGAGAATGGATGAGACCAATTAGGTAAAGAGATGCAGAAGTTTAAGTATGGAGGGGAGGGAAGCCAGGGTAGGGTAGGCCAAGAATGAGAGGGGGGGGGGGAGGTTTTAATTAGTTACATTTAAGTTCAGAACCTGTCGAGAGGACTCGAGAGACCCTGCAGCATAGAGAACTGCCATCAGGTAATCATGGCTTACCCAAACACATGTGGAAAAGGCCATAAAATGATGTTGTTGATGTTTTAAGTGGTCAAAACTAGACATAGTTTTAAAATTTATCAAATCTTTAGACTAATAATAATAATAATCAGTAGTAAAATAGACATTTATTGCAATGCTGTACAGTACATGAACATGCTTTTAAAAATTTTGTTTAATGACAACATGATGCATTAATGTATAAAATTTAATGTTGGCATTAATTTTGTATGTAATAAGAATATCAAATGATCACTAAAACCAATTACAAAATTGTCATGAAAACACTATGGAGGCTTCAAACTAGCTCTGGGAATAGTTTGCTTTATTGTATTGAAAATTTTTTTTTTAAATATTGCGGTCACCAAAAATGTTGACATCTCGTACACAAACTCTTATGTTAATTGTTTGTACTTATAGCAGTGTTCTAGAAAAGTATCCATTTTAATTTACAAAAATTTTATGGGGTGAACACTCATCTACGCATTATTTACCAAGATCCCTCATAACCTAGACATCCAATTTTTTTTATCGGTTTTTCTTGACCTTCCATTTACTACACTGTACCTTCGTTAATTCGGATCATATAATTTGGATTTTTTTTTAATGAATTAAACAATTTGAATTCGGAATTGAAATAACCAAGCGGTTCTGAAAAGTTGATTATTATTATAGAAATATATTAAGGTAAATGAATTTTAGGAATTGTTTATGAATTGTATAAAGAAACTGTACAAAACTACTTTTGGGTGCATAGCTTAGGAGAGGGGAGGTGGTGGAGGAGGTGGGAGAACAGGACAACGCACTTCCCACACTCCTTTTGTAACAACAGTATGCAATTTTGCCATACTGTAATTCCCATATTATTTAAGTTCACTTAGTGCCGAGTTAATAAAACATATCTAAAGATAATTAATTTTCCCGTAAAACTCCCACTCAATCCCAGATGAGCTATTGCACCTTAGTAGATTCCCAGTCTTTTGTATACAGGGCAGTAACACTTGGTCTCCCTAACAGTGTTGCCACCACTCACCATCACTCAAGCACTCGTTGTCACTGCTCAAGAGGGTTGATACTTACCACAGGATCTGTCTTTAACACTAAAGTAAATAATACTATATTGTAGTGTATTTATCAGAACTTGATAAATATTATAGTGTATAATGCATTTCCATATGCCCTGGTTTATTCACTGAACGGTTAAGTGCAAAATTAACCAAATCGAGCCATCATGCCAATTAATTTTAAAATATGAATTCAAATGTTTTTAGACAATGGTTTAGTAGTGCTGTTAATGTGTGTGCTGTGTAAGTGCCTTGTCACCACCCTTGCCTCATTGCCTTGCATCGGTGTTACATTTATTTATTGTTGTATGTACTGTACATTTCATAAAATATTTGTTTGCACAGTAATTATGAATAGATTATTTTATGGGACAGCCAAGGCATACAAGGTGCAAAAACTGAACAGAAAACGAACTAATAATATAATAAAAAATTTTGAAATTGTCAAATTATATCAAAATATTCCAAACTTGGTTAATTTAAATGTTTCGGTAATTCAAGTGAGCCAGAGCTCCCTTTTCGTTGAATTGACGAGGGTAAAGTGTATATCATGGAGACACGAGTACATCAAGTCTAGATTATGTATTAATAATATTTTGTTTTTCTTTTTCAAGTCTTCTACTGGTAGTGAAGAGTGGACGGAATACAGTATGAAGACCAAGCTTTTCTTTTTGATATCTATTGGTAAATAAGAGGTAAAGGTGGGGTTATCAATTCCATAGTACCAGATCAGGTAGTGCATGCTAAACCCCAAATAGGTAACCTGCCTCCTTTCTATACATTATGCACTTTATATAAACACAACTATATACAGTAATAGTGGGTTATATACCCCGGTGAAAAATTCCAAACAGTTTATATGTCGTATAAAATTATTTATTAAAAATAGATTAATCAGTCCATACTAAAAACAACTCTTAGAAACTTGACAAGAAACTGCCTACTCAACAAGATTTCAAAGTAGATTGATTCATAGAATATACAGTAAATTGCAAATAATTATAAAGTGATTAAAATAATTTTATATGTTAAATTTGTTAAAAAAAACAGGTACTAGAACAGGTGAGTGATGCAAACAATGTAGACAAATAACAGTACAGGGGCAACACTGCACTCCAAGTACACTAATCTTAACATAAGTTAAAAATATCAATGAATGACTAGATCTGTATTTGTAAAATTATAAAAGAGCTTAAGTTTAGGTGCAGGTCTAATGAACCATCATAAAGACTCCAGCTCTGACAGACACTGTAATTGATCCTCTTCAAGCTCAGTCAGTTTCTGGCCTACTGCTCCAACACGCGTAGTCAGCTCTGCAATCTTTTAAAAATACTTATTTATTTACTAATAATGAATCATATGTCTTTGTGAAAGAAACACACTGTAGTACAGTAAAGTAGAATCGCCTTATTTCGAACTAAAGAGCAGAAAGGGGGTTAGAAATACAGTACCTGATATTTAAAAAAAGGAGAGGATTTTATTACTCAATATTGCATAAATTTGAAATACTTTCCTAGAATGATAAAATTTCATTAATGCTTATCATACAGTGAAACTCCCATATACCCGTAATGGATTTCTCGCCACAATCCATTAAATGAAGGTTTCACATCTACTGGACCCTTGATCTAATGGACTCTTCCATATAGTCCGTTAAATGGAGGTTTTACTGTAGGGTTTATCCTAAAATTACTGGATTACTGAAACGAGAATAATTTCAATATATTTTGTCCATAAATATGCATACTGTACTGTATTAGGTTAAGGTCAGATGGGTTTCTTGGTAACCATGGCTGTACTGTGCATTGTGCTCCTTCTCTGATGTCACGGCAACTGACTGCAAAGCCTCTGTTCAGATCTCTAGATTCACCTCTTAAAAGTAGCTTTAATCGTATACTTTAATATTAAAACTTAAAACTGTAGGTACATAAACATAAAAACAAAACATATAAATTGCAACAATGAAAGCATGTCAGTAACAGCTAAAATTGGGGGAGGGCTTTGTTCTTGTATGGCATGCTAGATATTTCAATATAGTACAGTACTGTAACAAGAAATCCATTAAGCTATATAAATTTATGTATCGTGCTGGGTAGAAGCAAGGCATGTAAAAAGCATGACTGATGATTACAATAACACTGAAATACAGTACAGTTCATTAAATGGAAGTGTTTTGGAACATCTTAAGAAAAAACTTCAAAATGGACTTTTCACCATTATGTTACTGTGCCATCAGAGATTCACAATTTGCCAACTTATACGTTGTCCACAATATGTCTGATTTATGAAAATTGATAAACAAATAGTACTTGATATTAGAGTGTACAGCACTATACAATATATCGATGTACAGTACATGGGATTTGCCATGTTAATTATATGTAAATTGCATTGGTTTAACTCCAAAAAAGGTTTCAAAATCAAAGGATTTGCAGGCAACATTTGTGGTTGTTAGTTTGTGTGGCACCAGTTGTTTCATGGCAC